GGCAACAAACTTCTTGATCTAAGTGATCACAATAATGACATGCCTCATGGCGACGATGATGTGGCATCTGGGAATAAGAAGGCCCGTAAATCTAAAATTAGCATTAAACAACTACAAAAAGTCGCCTGCTGGAGTAGTAGTAGTAGCTGTAGTAATAGTAATAGTAGTAGTAGTAATAGCTGTAGTAATAGTAATTGTAGTAGTAGAAGTATTACTAATGGTAGTCATAGTTTTAGTAATGTAGTAGTAGTAATACCAATAGGAATGGTAGTAGTGGTAGTAATAATAGTAATAGTGGTGGCAAACGTGTCCAAAACACACACAAACATAAACACACAAACACACCCTCACTATTACAGACCTAAACACTCTCTAACCCTACACCTCCCTCATCACTCGCTCTGTGCATCACTCTCTTTCCCCTACGTATTTCTGTAGTACTTTTTTCAAGACGCCAATGTCTGTGCATCTGAGCTGAACTGTGAACAAAACCCAAGGCTGGCCAGAAATAATACAGTTGTAAGATAATGAATTGAATTGGGGGTGGTTTGCAACATAATGTAGACAGACAAAACAGCGGGACATTCCACTGAAATGTTCCAAACAAAGTGGGCTCTTTCTCTCGTGGGCAGATTGCGGTCGTGCTTCTCCAGGTTGAGTTGCGAAAACATTCATTGGGTTGTTTAGTCTGGGCTCCATGTGTTGTTACAGTGGTTCTTTCTCACTCGGCAGACGCTCGTTTTACACCAGGCGGATTTTAGAGACTTTTGAAAAAGAAAATAAAAAAGTAACTTGTAGTTTTGCTGCCAATTTGTTTTTTAATGAATGTTTTAGAGCACGTGGGAAAGTCATTCATTGGGAGTAGTGTTTGTTATGACTCTGCAGTAAATCATATCACGATAGGGATTTAATCATTTGTAATTGTTATATTTAATCTCACACTCTGAGGGAATGAAAAGTTTAAAGGTCTTTATTTTGATGTGTTTCTTGCTTATGAATTTGCTTTTATGAAGACAGAATACATTTGAATTGAGAATATGTCTTGATCAATTTGAAAATGTCTTGAACGTATGTCTAGATATGAACAATTTTAGCATAGAACACTGTATTCTAAAGCATTTGAAGAGATTTAGTTTAAAAGAGAGCAAGATCCATAGTAATCCTTCAACTGCATGTATTTCATTTGAAAAACGCTGCATGACAAAATATTCGGGAGGATGCAAGATTCTAAAAATAACCTAATATTTACGTGGCTGCGGTGCTGCCTTGATATGGGGCTGGCTATGCACAGTAAAAACATGTTTGACTAATCCCTCAAAGGAAAATCCCTTTGTTACTGAAAAATGAAAGAGGCCAGACAAAAAAGTCAAACCATTTGGGATTTAACAGAGGAGGCTAGGATTACACCTGCAGCTATATCTCATTCTGCCATTCGCTGCACAGGCAGCTGTGCTATGTCTTCATGAGAAAAGCTGTGCAGGTAAAAACCTAAAACTACACTAAATAGAACTTTGAAATAGATGATTTAATGAGAATAAATATTTTATATATAAGTATAATTGTTCTAAAAATATATTTAGGTATATACTGAGGAAAGTCTTGGCCCCAGAAAGAGGTGAGCTATTCTTGTTTTTAGTGGTAGAGGAAACCTGAGCACCTGGAGGAAACCTGCATAGACACGGGGAGAACATGTAAACTCCAAAAAATTCCAAAAACCTTTCTTGCTCAGACGCCAGAGTGCTAACCACTGAGCCACACATCAGTGCCATAGTCCAGAACGAGTCATTTGATCCACAATTCCTGACACTGCAAATGATCCAAAATCAAATGTATTTATATGTCTCTAGTTTGTTGCACTTGACTAAATGGCTCATATTTATTCTGTCACTCTGCCCAATGGCATCTGGGAAAGAACAGCTCACCCCACAGAGAGTGGAGTGAAACAGATGCACATTGGGTAGTGGGTAAAAGGCTTGGTAACTTAAGGAGGACAGAATACACAAAGTATCCTTCCTGGCTCTGCGGTTCGGTCTTGTGTATTTTATCTTGTGTATTTTTCATAGCCACATTCTTCAGAGTTCATAACCCCCTTGTTCTGACCTGAGCGTGTGTTTGTCTGCTCAGAGAAAAACGGTGTTGAGAAATGGACAGGCCTAATACACAAGTGACCTCTGCTGGTCCCTGCTGACCTGTGTCCTATTGTTCTTCTCTGTTGTGGTGTCACGCTTCATAGGACAATCAGCCAACATCTTAACCAGGACCTGTTTAACTCTGAAAGACATTCATTCATCATGGTCAACACAGAGGGACAACCATCGCACGAATCTACAGAGACCTGAAAACATCACCTGCATAAAAATGATTCTTCTCTGATTTGTGTGATATTTGTTTTAAAAGCAGTATAAATATGCATAATATCAGATCTGTCCCCTCAACGCCATGGACATCCAGAGTGTATTTATGCCACATTAGTCTTTGTGGAGTGTACTGAATCAGAGCTGGTCCAGTCGCTGAGGCCACTGGCTGAATTCTGGTCTCTGAGTGAAGATTATGGAAGTGCTTTGAAATGGCAAAGGCTCACGGGGGCTTTGGTTCATCACTGCCCGCGTTTATGTCAAAGAGAGCTGTGGTCTGCGGCCCACGAGATGGACTCCAGCCAGGGACATAACTCCACTCTTTTATGTCGTATTAGAGAAGAGATGCCCTCGAAATATGTGACACAGAAATGTAGAAGCGGGTGTCAGGGAGAAACTGTAAAAGCAACAAAAACAGTGAGCCGGAAGTTCGTCATCGAAGGGTGTTCGAAGGTTCAAAACAAAGGACTTGACTGGAACTGAGAAGAGATAGAAGCAAAGAAGCAATGTTATTCTTAATGTGACCGTTGAGGAAGGCCCATATATGGACGTATGGCGGTTGCCGGGGGTTTCCAGCTCAGGCACAGTAGTGGTTTGAGTAGATAATCTCTAGGGAAATTCATGTTGTGTGTGATTGTCTCAGTATTGTCACGATAGCAGGAGCGTTCAACCAGGATGATCGGGGAGGCAAGGCAAGGCAAGGCAAGGCAAGGCAAGTTTATATGTATTGCACAATTCATACACAAGGCAACCCAAAGTGCTGAACAAAACAAGATCTGCAAGGCGGGTTCTGAAGATGGCACGCAGCTCTCCAGGCATTCAATTCAATTCGATTCAGTTTTGTGTAGCCCGAAATCACAACAATAGTTATGTCGAAGGGCTTGATCAGAGAATCAAACAGTTCAAACACAAGAAATGCAATGATTAAAAACACATACCATTGTCAAGGTAAAACATCTAACTTGTCTTTCAAAAGAACCACAATGCTTTTTCAGATCACTAACGACAGTAGCGTGAACACCGGTCCACACAGAGAAACCAGCAAAAATGCATGTAAACAAACAGCGATAGCTAAAAAGAAACGGTTAAGATAGTTTTTGTTACTCATAGAAAGGCTGAGGAAACTATTTTGATTTTTCATTTTCACTATCAGCACTAAAATGAGGAATTGTGCATATAGACTTACAAATACAAATGTGTATTGTTAACTGTTTTGACATTTCAATATTTCTCAACGCTGCCCAAAGAGAAACAATAAGGCCAGTTTTAATTTTTTGTAGCAATTTATATCAATTGCTTGTACCTCCTTGAAGATTTGCCGCTGTTATTCAGAATTTGTTAACAGTTTGTTTGCATCGCTTGTTTTTATTAATCAAAAAGAATTACCGGCGCTGCTCAAGCAATAAGTCTCAGAATCGGTCTTCTCGGCCTAACATCGCAGTTTACCGACACAAGCTTAAATATTTTAGCAGAACTCCTCGCATTATTCAAACTGAGTCAAACAGCTTTGGGCTATACGACGGCAAATAGACTTTTACTGACGAACGGGTAGATTTACAGTCGTGTAAGACGTGAGAGAGGATCATGACTTGGTGATAAACAGACTTGCCCTCTGCATGCGCTCTGTGCCATTCCCTCAGCATGAACTTGTTATTGAGGCTTTGAACTGGCCCTAACCCCGAGCTCTACACACACACACACACGCACACACACACACACACGCACACACACATGCTCATTAGCAGAGGATTTCCGACATGATGTCTCAGTTTAAAGCCTATAAACATCGGTATAGTTGTGTGACGAGATGGGCTTTCAAATGTCATCTGGTGCATGTGGCCTTTCTGCGGAGTTTACATTTTGGCCAGAAGCGTGCACTTGTTTTGATGTAGTAACAGCGGAAGTGAGAGCAGTGACATCCCGGTCAGGTCAAAATCCCCGTTCTCGTAATGTCAGCTTCATTAAGTCTTATGAATATGCCTGCAGGGGAAAGAACAGAACAGGACTGGTCATGTTTTAAAAGCTGGAGCACCTACCTTTTGGATGCATTCATATTTTTTTCCCTTCTATAGAATATGTATTGTGTCAGTAAAAAATCAACAAAATCATACCACAACAAGCTGTCTTTATCTTAATTTAAAAAAAATTTTGATTTAATCTTTTACATACTGAATGCTGGATGAAGGCTGGTAAGCTGATGTAAAGGGAAAAAATAAATAAATAATCAAGCACTTATTTTGTATTGCTTTTACAAAAAGGTACTCCAACTTTAATTGTGCATAGGTTGCCAGAATGCTATAACACCTACGTATATGGCTAGCTACAGTATAAGTGAAATCGCCCAGACAGTATGCTACCCAATATCACCTCTCCACATAATTCTTTATGATAAGATATCAAATATGAGTACTTTGAAACCAATGAAAAAGATACCAGTGTGCAGATTCGATAAATAATCTACAGGCTACAAAATGAAAGTTCAAATTCGTTTTTTTATGTAATTTCTCTCAGTCATCTGACCCCTATAGTCCATTACTGTCCAAAGGTTATCCACCCCCTCTTCTTAAAGCTCATATAACGGCAGGTGAACGAAAGGTAAATCAGTCTGCAGCTACGTCTTGCTTTTAACTTGCTGAACTGAAAGAAATGACTTCTCCAGGGAGCTGTTTCCGTTCCCTTTTCAACTACTATACCGAGAAATATGTTGTCACTAAAAACAGAAAGATCGGAATCATATACAGACTTTATCAGCTGTCTGTGCTGGCGTACATAATCGGTTGGGTGTTTGTGGTCAAGAAAGAATACCAGGAGAAAGAAGAATCCATTCAGAGCTCCGTCTTCACAAAACTCAAAGGTGTCGCTATGACCAACAGCTATGGCCTTCACATATGGGGTGAGGAAGACTACTCAATCCCTCCCAGCGGTGAGAAAAACTTCTTTGTGGTGACGAATTACATTGAGACTCCCAATCAGAAGCTGGGGTTTTGCCCCGAGAGCTACAACGTTCCAGGTGGACGATGCGTGAGCAATGCAGACTGCAAGAAAGGCGAGTCTATCATAGCTGGTCACGGGATCATGACTGGTGTTTGTGTGAAAACAACTGGGACATGTGAGATCCAAGCCTGGTGTCCTGTTGAGAATAGCACCAAGCCGCAAAAGCCGATACTAGGAGCAGCTGAAAACTTTACCGTCTATATCAAAAACTTCATTCGGTTTCCGTTATTTGATTTCTCCAAGTCGAACATCAATCCAGAAATCTACGGAGCCAGCTACCTTAAGAATTGCACCTACGACAGCAAGCGGCATCCCTACTGTCCCATAATTCGTCTGGGGCAGTTGGTTAACTGGACAGGCAAAAACTTCCAGGAAATGGCGTCTAATGGTGGTTCTGTCGGGATTGAAATCAATTGGCAGTGCGACTTGGACAAAGACTATTCTCTCTGCAAGCCCCAATACCGGTGCATAAACTTGGGTAAAAACAACTTGGGAACAAACACCACGGTACCATACAACTTTAGGTATGCTAAGTATTTTAAGGATTCAAACGGGAACAGCATTCGCACTTTGTATAAGGTGTACGGGATCCGCTTTGACGTGATGGTGACTGGGCAGGCTGGACGCTTCAGTATCGTCCCCACGATGATAGCGTTGGGCTCAGGGTTCGCTCTTCTTGGGGTTGGCGTCTTTGCCTGTGACACGATTCTACTCTACATGACAAACGCAGGTGAATTCTACAGAAAGAATAAGTATGAAATGATCATGCAGAAAGCTTTGCAAAAGGAGGAGAAAGATACCAAAGCGTCTTCAGAGAGCAAGCCGATTCACTCGAAGGATGAAACAGAAGAGATGTCCACATTCATTTCATCAACACCATAGACTCTGTTTACCTGAGTTGATGATGGAAAATCAAGATTGTAGCCATAGAATCAAAATAAAATATAATCGACTTCACATGCAGTAGACATCGAAAACCCACAAATAGACAGTATGGTCTGTTTTTTCATGGTCTAATTTATATATTGGTATATTCTTATATGGTATTGTTTAAATCATTTGTCAACTGAAACTGTGTTATTGACAAAGCTAAAGCCAACAGTATGAATCCGTACATATTTACTGTATTTGACTGAAAGGCTTTTATGGTAATAATGTGCGTGATGCTCTTATCTCACCTGCTCTACCTCACACCCGGCTAAGAATCCAATTCTATTTTTAATTTTCTGGGAGAAGAAATTTAAGCAACACTCTGACCTCTGCCACCCACCGTCCACTATGTCCAAGTGCAACTTTCTGAGAGGATCCATAGCTAAGAGAGGGCACTGACACTCCCCCATATCTGACCATGCCTAATAATGAAGGGACTGAAAAAAGCATTATTTAAATTCTTGAATTAAAAAGGGCGACAGTAGCTCAGTTGGTAGAGCATTGGCCTTTGGGCCTGAAGGTCGTGGGTTCGAGCCCACCGTAAGACCTACTTCACGACTCCCACTGATGACTGCTGTCGTTGTGTCCTTGGGCAAGACACTTAACCCTACTTTGCCCAAAGCCCCAACTGAAAGATCTCAGCTCCTGTGGACTCACCACCTGCAGGAGGATCAGTGAGGGGCTGGTGCTCTGTGGACTGGGTGCAGCTCTGACTGCCACCCCCCCCGACCCAGAAATGGATTAAGGGGAAGAAGATGGATGGATGGATGGAATTAAAAAGTTCTCCAATTGTGTTTTGAATAGTTATTTATCCTGCAAATAACTGCTAAATAAATTTGGCAGAATAAAAGTTAAAACTCTTTCATGTTTTATTTTTTTTTATAAATTGCCAGGCCAAATCAGAATCAGAATATACCGATACTATTGCTCCGATCTAGCACATTTTCCATTCGGTGCATTACTGACCCTTAATCCTGAGCTTATCGAGCTTATCTAGATTGAAAGTGAAAGTAAAAGTACAACAATGTTTTTACTGTTCAACCGTCTTCCTGTGTCCTGGTTATGTTCCCAAGTCCTCCTCAATGTGAACTTTTGCTTAAAGGGTAAAAACTCAGATTGTTCTTTTAATTTAAATGTTAAATTTTTTGCAAATGTATTCCAATGTAGTTTTTATACTGCACATGGCTAATAAATGAATCTGAATCTAAAACGGGTATTTCTGAATGACAAAATGTAATGTTAATAAACTTTGAACTTCACTCAGAGCTTCCCTTCTAAACATTACACGCTTCCTTCTGTCACACAAAGGAGCCACTAATCTGGTCATAAAAAGGGGCCATCAAATGTTCTGAAATGGATTGTCATTAGGTCTTAAGTGCACTTCAGCTCCAACTGCAACATTTCCCAGAATTATCCACATTATAATATTATATTGTGCACTCAAAATAAGGAGGAAAATTAAAAATGCATGGTCTATGGGGGGTTGATTGGGAGGAAATTAAACAACATCATAAAACCGACTATTGCTGCGACACTAAGTACACATACTGTATCTATGAGAACAGGCTAATAGGGGAAAGCAATGACAGTGGCAGAAGATTAGTTACATTTAAAGTGTGTAAAAAATATGCAATGATCCACTGGGCTGAAGAACTGTGTCAAAGTCTCAAGTCTTCAGAGAAATCATTCAGATCAGAATCTTGTGTTTTGTCCTCGTTTGGCTCCCTCTTGTGTAATATGTTCGCCTCCTGCATTCATTTTTCTCTCCAACTTTCACTTTCATAATAAAACATGATCGTGACGCACCAGATATGCACCTTTGCAGTAGGATGAGGACAGAGAGCGTCGGGATGGAGTAAGCGCAACCCTAAAGGACCCAAATATTTAGAACATTTGCCAAAAAACCTGTAAAAACAGCAGCTGCATGTTGCCTCGTGCAGCACCTCTCCCAGGCTGAGGCTCTGGGCCAGTTTATATAGCACCAAGCTCCATCCATCCATCCATCCATTTTCTACCCTTTAATCCATTTCTGGGTCAGGGGGGTGGCAGTCAGAGATGCCACCCAAGTCTCATAGCACCAGCCCCTCACTGACCCTCTGCAGGTGGTGAGTCCACAGGAGGACGGCTGCTCTCTGAGTGTGAGCATAGCCTTGATCTTTTCAGTTGGGGGACACCAAGCTCCTCCCATTCAAATGGCAGGTACGCACAGCAAGCAGAAAAAGGTTAGAAAAAAGTCATGTAAAATCACGTACAAAACAGTGCACAAATCTCAAACAATGAAAAGCTTGGCATATCAAAACATACGTCTATCACTGAAACAGCAAGACCAAAAATTTAAATACAAAATTGTTAAAACGAAGTACATCACAGCCTTGTCCCACAACATGGTAAGTAAGTAAGTAAGTAAGCTTTATTTATATACCGCCTTTCACAGACCAGAGTCTCAAAGCGGTTTACAATTGTTATTTTTGGGCACTTGTCCTCTCACTCCACACAGAGATGGGAGCGGGGTCGCCGAACAGGAGGCACATGCCAGACCTATTGTACATATTTTAAGTAGAAGGGGAAACCGGAGTACCCTGAGGAAACCTACGCAGACACGGGGAGAACAAGCAAACTCCACTCAGAAAGGCCCTGGTCCGGACGGGATTCGAACCCAGGACTCAGCTTCTTGCGGCCCCCAGATAAATTAAGATTTGAGACTTCTGAACAAAACCCGTCTTAAAGATATGTAAGAGGATTTTCTACTTCTGGGTGGATCATCAAGACTATTGGTCCTCCCAGTTGTCAATCATTCTGGCCACATGTGCTCGTCAAATAAAGAGAGTTTTGTTGGAGAGGGCGGTTCTTTCCTAACATTTGGGAAAATCCTTCTATATTCAGTACCTTTTAGACTGACAGTAACACAGACGTTTTATCCCATACTTTAGCCAATACTAACCACAATTGAATTTGTTCTGCTTTATCGCATTCCTTTAAACTGACTCGAAATGCCTCTCACATGTATTAATTCAATTTCTAAGTTGACGTTGCAGATAAAATGTAAGTTAAATCATCAGATTAGCACTTTTTTCCCTCCTGTCAGGCACACAACCCCCTGCTGTTAACATGAATATATCCTAAATCCTTTCCGCTTTCCGAATCGCTGCGTCAGTGGGTGCTCTGCTTCAGTTACAGCCTCCATAGAAAAGCAATGCAATGACTTCATCAGCCCAAATGTATGACTCTTTTGGAAAAATCCCCTGCCTTTGAAAGCAGCCAAGGGAGGTGCGCTTATGAGCTTTCAAAGATCTTCTAAGAGACAGACAGCGACTCCACCAAAATGGGAAAGGAATACATTCAAGAAACTAGAGAAAATCAAAAGCATGCGATGTCATGCACCGTCAAAAGAGATACTGAGAACTGGAGCGCCTCCCATACGTGGAAGTAAAAGTTCAACAAACTTTAACAGCAGGGGTAAGAAGGATACGCCACACTACCCTGGATCAGCTTTTCCCCCTGGTGTGAAAGTGGAAAAAAAACAGTGTATTGAACAGCTGAGGGCGCTGTGTGCAAAGGGCGATTCTAATAGAAAGTGGTGCAGGCGGGCAACACTTTCTCTCATGTCAAAAGTCTGAGTGTTCAGCGTTGTAATTATGTGAAGTGCTGTGGACCTGCTCAGATCAGAGACTAGAGTGACGTGAAGCCGGATATCAGGGACTAAACATGCTTTTACTCAATACATTCAAATGGTGTTGCAGCTTGGTTTTGAAGATATTCTTAAGTCAGAATACATAAAAAGTATCTCTGTATGTATTGTGGTATAATGTGCTGTAAGCCAATGTACCTTACCTGGCGTTTATGTGTAAATATTGTCAACAGTATAATACCTGTGCGCGGTAATTGTACTGTTGTGTGTTTTTTAATTGTATTTCTGTCTTGTTTGAAAGTGCTGTTTATTAAGTATTGTGTGTTTGTTTTGTGTACCTGTACTACTGTATCACAATTAGTTCCCTATTGGATCAATAACGTTTGTCTAAATCTAAGTCAGATAAATATTATAGAGAGTAATAAGCGACTAACCCTAAAGCAATAACTCTACTCTTCTAAAAGCTAATATCTGAGCTACAATAGCACAGTATCAGTATAAATGGAAGAATCAATCACTTTGGAGTTATATTTATATAATGTAGTTACTTAGCTTCTAACTTAAAGGAGCTATACCCGTTTCTGCAGGGTTTGAATGGAATCACCGCCCCCCAACTCTAACTCGGGTATAGCATCTTAAAGTTTAAACCAATGTCTCCCCTTAGTGCAATGAAAAATACATACTTAGTTAACCACATCCATGAGGCAAGGGACATGGCGTTTGTATTTCAGGTTTTTTTGCCACTACTTTAACATTTATTTTTTGCAAAGACATTTTAAATACCGTTCTTTCTAGCTACAACAATTAGCTTTTCTGTCACAGCTGAAAGTTACAACCATAGAATAGACTGCATGGGTGTCATTTGGCCACAATAGGCCTAAGTGCTGTAACACAGAGCAGGCGGTCACAGTGTTCTTAATGGCATCAGAACTGACTCTATGTGAACCGTGATGGCCTCGCTCCTGCTGGGAACATGCAATTACTGCCTGCATTTAAGAGATTTGATTATTTTCGTTCAGACCGGCTTGTTGACAAAGAGTCCAACCGCTGCAGATGGAAATGTACGCTCTCTCCAGCAGATATCGCAATGGATTATGAAAGAATAGTTAGGATGTTTTAGTTTTTTGATCAAGTCGAGCTGAAACCCTCATCATAAAAAAAATGACCACTCATCATAATTTACTGGATTTCTGGTTCATCCTTTAACCATGATGTTGATGCATGGGTCAGCCACATGGTTGTGTCCATGACCAGGGTTGTTGTGTTTTATTGCAAACATGGTCTCTTCACCATCGGTCAGTTGGCACGATGGAGGTTGACAGGT